TTTTAATAAAATAGATTAAAATATACTTATCAATTTCATTTATGAGATATAAATAAATCTGCCAATTTTATTTTATTTGTTCCTGTTATCACAACCGCCATAATCCGCTTGATGAACATATTATTAATTCGACGTTTTAGAAGACGAATAGTATGAAAGTTTACAAAGCCCAGTGCTAAAATGTTTTACATCAAATTCTGTACACCTTTTTGAGAATCTACGCATGTAACTGGAATTGCATGTCTGGGATGAAAACATTTAAAATTAAAAGCCTGTATTCATGTTTTTAAGTTTCTTGCATAAAATATACTACGTGTATGGCAATATCAACTGAAAGAAGCACTGCTTAGTTCTTCTTACTGCTCTATATATTTTTAATACTCAGAAAACAAATTTCGAACAATAAATTATTGCTTGCATTATCTATATAAATAAAGAAGAATATATGTTTGTGTTTTTTCGCGATTAACTCGGTCATTACTATAACTAATGTCACCAACTTTCTACAGTTCTTTTCTGGGTCCTGGGAAAGGTCGACGTCCACGTTTCCCTTCCCCCTCCCAAAAAAATAGCTAAAATCAGAGATATTAATTAAAATCTCTGAAAACGCTCACTTTCGCCCTCATTTTCCAGGGTGGGGACAGTCTCGCGGGGTCTTTGGAGATAAAAATGCCTCATTTCGAAAAGTGTTGTCACTGCTCGCTTTCAAATCGTAGAATCTGTTAATGAAAAATTTGGTAAGTTTTGCAAAATCTCTATATAAAGAAGAATGGTTGTTTGTGTGTTTGTTCGCGTTATTGATTTCTGATCATTTATGATCCATTTTTTAACCACATTGAATCGACTAAAATTGAATATAGGTGAAATATTGTATGGAACTTGAGCTTTCACGACCATCTGAAAAGAGTGTGAGCCCACCAGCGGCCGAGCGGTAAAATCGCTGAACACTGGTAGTTCGGTCCGAGGTTCGAATCCCGCGAACGGACTGGCTGCATGGGCGTTTTCGTAGTTTTCCCCATGTGTAACGTGTATACGAGCCAGTTTTCCTTAGAAAGTCCTCCACGAAGGCATCCCTTCCCTTAGGCAGATAGCCCTAGTGTGCTTTGCCGTATTCTCAATAACACACCATTTGATAAGAAAGACGAAAATCATTCAAAGCTGCGTGACATTGTTGCTGATATAATGCGAGAGAATTAGTTTATTTTTGTATTGAAATTTTTTTCTGTGCGTTCAATGTCGCGTCAAACTGGAAAATGTCTGACTATGAATCGTATTTTTTGCATCGTTATTAGAGAAGGATTACAGAGGTACCATTCTCTCTGTTGTTAGAGACATTGCGCTCAATGTAACTTAACTGGCATCGGGTACTTCCGCTAGTTATCAAGAATTATGCAAGCAATGAATAATTATTTATGCTATTATAAATATATTTTTGCATAGCTACGCATATTTTTAGATACATAGATTTCGATTGTTTCCATGAAAGATTATTTTAAGTAAATGCTTCTCTCAAAATTTCAGTTTGTTCTTAGAGTATAATGTTTTAAAAGAATCCATGCATAATTAAAGTAGAAATTTGTGAAACTGACCGTATGTAAATATTATTATGTGCAAAATTATACTTAGTCTCTAGTAGATAGTTTTCAACTTGATTCTGTGATACAAATAAGTAACATTTTGTGTACTTTACTTTTTTTTTGTTTTTCAAAATAATTTAGTCAATTCACGTATAAGCAAAAGCCCTATACTGTACATACTCCGGTTCAACGACAAAATATGCAGACGATAATAAAACACCATCGTAGACGAAAAAAAAATTTTTCCCCTAAAAATTTGTGACAAATGTAAACTTTACGAGTTTACACAGATTGCGGGTAAAATCGGCAGACAAGCAATGAAACACTGAATTGAAGTTCCCGTTTGAAGCAACAGATGGTGCCCTTTACTTTGAAATGCATCGAAATAATACATCGTCCAATTTAAGATTCCGTCTTTTCATGTAAAGGAAACATTTCGTAAAATATATACATAAATAAAACCTGAACAGGACACTGTAGTCACTTTAAAAGCCCACGGGTGAACTGTAGGATATAGTGTAAAGGGAAAGGAGAATTTATTAACAAAGAAGACTGATGTGTACACCACATGACTTCCTTGTACGGAATATTAAATTATACGCATTTTTTCCTGCATTTCATTTAAACTTGTTTCCTCGAATTTCATTAGAGTAAGTTTTTCATTCAATTATTCTTCAAAATACTAATCGAGTTCAACTAATTACCCAAGAAAGGGTGTTTTTTTAACGTTTTGTCTGTTACCTTTGTTTATGAAATAGCATATTCTTCGCACTTAAACCATAAAATTAAATTCAACAGCAATATCACAAAATATTTAAAAGAGCACATCTTAAAATTTCCGATATACAGCCTCGCACGCTGGAGATAAAATTTTTTTATTCCATACAGTGTTACCATTGCTCGCTTTGAAATTGATGAGATTGTTAAAAATTTCATAAAAAAAATTACAGAATTTGAAACAGATAATAAAGCAAATCTAAAATTTAAGTCGGACCTCCGAGTGCCCATCTTCGGTTGGAGGACTGTTATTCAAAATTGGATTGTCTGTGGGTATCGTTGTTTTTTAACATGCCAGAAACATTCATGCAGATTCTTCATTATTTAGTTTTTTTATATATAACGTATAGAGATAATATTTGGTGGCAACTGTTTGAAATGTAAATCAACACATAAATTGAAACGACGAAAAATGCCGTTTTGAGACTTATAGCTCTTTGGGTCTAACCCCCTTTGGCCTAAAATCATAAAATAGGTATTTCCACAGCATTTCAATTAGAACTGTTCGTAACTTTTCTGGAAATTATTTAACCGAATGACCGAAGCCATATTTCTTTAATTTGCTAATCTGAGAATATAATTAATATTACATCGCACATATTTATTACTTCTTCATTATTCTTATTCTCAAAATAACTTTGCAATAAAAATTCCTGTGAGACATAAATTGTATTTAACTTTAATACATTTTTGGTGCCATAAACCTCTGATCTGAAATCTATAACAGTACGATTATAGCACGTAATAACGATAACCGAAGCAAATATGACCAAAGAAGACATTTTTGTTTGCATTTCGAAGCCACAGCATATTCAACGAAGTATATTGAGTAAAGTAACCTTAAACTATAGCAGAGTTATTAACAAATATTTATCGATGTTAAGTTTCATCGAAATATCGATTATCCTCGAAACAATATTTGTCATGTAAGTGAATGACTGCTTGGCAGATATTGAAAAATCGATTAATCCGTTTTGGTCGAGTTTGAATTATTGCTGTCTCGTCAAATGAAAGAAAATTATTATCGATACGTAATTATTTCATTAAAATGCTGTTTAATAATAACATTGGTAAATATTTCTCTCGTCAGAAATTCGTATAAATATTTATGCATAATTATTTTATTCAATGTAAATATTTGTATGCCTTTGTTTTAAATTTATGTATTGTGAATCTGTGTAGTTTATCTTTCATTGTTTTCGAAATTTTGAATTTTGATTGAATTTATACTCTATGTAAATTTGTTGTTGAATAATGCTCACTTTCAACAACATGGCATGGTTTCATGTGCTTGAGCTAACCTATACTCAACTCAAGCCCATGAAGTACCTCGTGGCAAGGAGCGTAAGATACACCTGTCGTTTGTCAACACCTTACAACGCTGATGGAACGGAACACTTTCCGTCCTAATAGGCGCCTATCGGAATTAAGTACCGCCCCGCCTTTGATCAATCCACAATGTTGCGACCCCACAGAACAAAGGCAGACAAGGCAGTACCAGTACGGTCCTTGCCGAGCCTTACACTGTCCCGAGAGCCCTCAGGCCGTCTGTGAAGTCTGTTATTATGCCCCCCCCCCGTGGTTGAAACTGCCTAGGTACAGATCCTAACCGCTACTTCCCAGGCGTTCGCCTGAGTTAACCCCCGGGGGGTCAGCACCTTACAGGTGACAATGCGATTTAGCTCAGTTACGCCCCCCGTTTTGATGGAGAGCGCTCCGAGGGGGGGACGGGTCTGAAGGTCTCCCACATCTCTTCCCCTACAGCCAACATCTCGAAAAGACTTTCGACTCACCGCATATTTAGAGTGCCCTCATGCTGCACGGACACTATACATTTAAAAATAGCTATGCCTTCTCCTGAGTTCGAACCCGTGTCCTTCGATACGACAGTCAGCGACGCTAACCATTATACCGGTTGCGCGGCGTGTAAATTTCTTACACCTCCTTTTAGTTAATGAAATGTTTGGCAGGTTGCATTGTTAGTTTACTAATGCGCACGATCTTCCTTGCTCGGTTGTTTGGATGTAAAAAATACATGACGGTTATCTGGTTAAGGGAACAGAGCCTTCGTGGAGAACTTCAAAGGAATTTAGGTTATATGACGGTTTCAAAGCAGACGAGAGAGGGTTAGATTAGGTTATTTAAATATGGCAATGAACACCAGAGTTTCCTGCCTGAAGTTCAAGTTCTTCTGGTTCCTAAATAAATAAATAAATAAATAAATAAATAAACAAATAAATCTAATGACTCTACACTGTTTTTATGGCTTTCTTACACTTATCTTATTCTGTGAAATAACATAAAATTTCGTATAACATTGTATGCATGAACAATAAATTTGTGGCTCATATAGATAATATATGTACAATGTTTCTTCGGTTAGAGTAGATTGAAGGGTGCCGCTTTTATTAGCCCGAAATTGTTGTTTCATTTATCGCCGAGTTGTTGTTTCATTTATCGCCGAGTTGTTGCTTCATTTAAGGTAGCCTGAGTAGTTGAATGTTATAGAAACCCTATTATGACGTAATTGGTTGCGTGATTGCGGAAGATTTTGAATTATGGGAAAAAATTTGTAAGGGCTTGTGGTGTGTGTTGGTTAGGAGTACGTTGCTTGTTTTGTGGTTTAGACGCTAGAGTGGTTGAATGTGGTAAGATTAATTTGAAGTTTTTGTACAATTTGGAAGGAAAGGGGAAAAGAGTTTTAATTGACTGGTGTGTAAATGAGGGTTTACTTGTATATAATTAGTGTCCTGTTTGTAGGAAGGAAATACGTACGGTTGAACGTCGAAGGATACCGGCAATACGGAGGATAATTTTGACTCTTATTTTTGTGAATTTATGTGGCGTCGCCAGTATACAGATTCTAGTTTAGATAATGTTAAGAAGTTTTTGGAAGATTAAGGAATTTTGTTTGACTGAAGAAAGGGAAATTTCTAAGTAAAGTAAGTTTATATTTCCTTTGTGTAGAGCTAAGATGAATTTCCTTTTTTATATCATTTGATTGTTTCATTTAAAATGTAGTTTATTGAGATTATATATTTTTTGTTGGCTGCTCCTGTGACCTTTTAAGTAAAAATAGATCGGTGTACATGAACAAAGTCAAGGGAGTGCGCAGGGCCAAGTTTGTGCAATTCTCTGTTTTTTCAAGTGAAAATAGGTCGATGTGTACATGGATATCGAGTTTTTGCAATTCTTTGACTTGTTCTTTGGGCCAAAAATCGCCGCTACACAAAGCTAAAATAACAAGTCAAAGAATTGCAAAAACTCGGTGTCCGTGTACCGCCAAAAATCGCCAATTTTCGCCAAGGGGCACCCGTAAACATATTTTTACCTGCTTCTTCCCTAAAAATTCGGAAAATAACAAACACATGGAAAGCTTAGGTAGCAGTAATGATAGTGCATTAAATAGTGTCGTGTAATATTCAGTAGTACGAAGTAAAGAAAGAACGCGAGGAATTTAATTAAAATATACACTAAAAACACAAATAAATAATTATTAATTAATAACAATCAGTTTTTAGTCAGTAGGGCAAAAAGTCCCTACCGGTGCAAATCCCGTGAATTCTCGAACTAAACGAACTCAGTAACCCTATTAACCTTCAAATTATAAAAAAGAAACTCAGAATATTAAAATCAGAATATATAAACGGATGAGAAATCCCTCTAAAAACTAGGTATTACAAAAATATTTCAGAAACTGACATGAAAAAGGGGTTAATCTTTCGAATATGGTAACAGGTAGTTTGGCGACATTTTGGTAAGGCTGTAAAGGTTGCTAGCTAGGACTTCAGCAGTATACATGGATAAAGTCAAGAGTGTGCGCAATGCCATTTTTTGTGCAATTCTGGGATGTTTTTTTAAGTGAAAATAGGTCGACGTGTACATGGATACCGTGTATGTGCAATTCTTAAAAACGCGGCAAGCAGTTTTGCGATTCTGCACTTTCTCCCAATTTCGCACCTAATCTTCGTTATGATTAAGCACTTTTGTTCCATAAAAGTTCTAGCATATGCGTAATTCGGCTAGCAGATTGTTGGAAAAAAATGTTGAGTAAAAAAAAAAAAAAAAAAAAAAAAAAAAACTAGCAAGTTGCTGTAGCAGGGATAGTCGCGAAATTTTCGCCAAAAAGTCGCCAAGTTACCATAATCCAAAGATTAACCAAAAAGGCAATCATGCACGCTTTCGAAAATACACATAGGCAATATTTCTAAAACGCATCAATTCTGAAAAAATGCGTGCAAACATTAAAATTTTGTTATAAAGCAGTGTGAAAGCCTATAGTGTGTACAAAAAAGCACAAAATTTTATCATATTTTAAATAAAGATGCTTTCATGCAAGCAATTTAGATTTTGCAGTATCAAAATTACAAATATGTATATTTCCGCTAATTTCACATATAAGTATCGAAAATAGTTATAAATAAGCGTGAAAACATACGATAATCATAAAGAAACAAGAATTTAACAGAATACATACAAATAATCCTAAAAAGCATAAGAGTTTATCGAATTTTTGCCAAAAAGCCTGTCATGGACGCAAAAGAAGTTCCGCAAAATCAAAATTTTAGATATGCATATTTTAACTAATTTCACATAGAATTGTCAAAGTAGATTATAAAAAGATGTGAAAGTACTCAAAGATATGCGAGAGTGCGAAATTATAATATAAATGATCATGTTAAATTCTTCGCGCACGAAATCGTAAAGTTTGACGTGGCAAACTAAAATCCCATAATAATCGACGAAAGTTAAATATGAATGCTAAAATCAATAGTTTTAAGCACCTTACTGAGGTTTCGTAAACAAAAACAATCAGAGTTAAAAGTTTGTACCTACATACCTGCGTAGTTAGGCTTAACAGGTCCGATGTAGGACAAATCACACAAAAATCTTATTGCACAAATAAACTTCTTCACAAAACATATTCAAAACACAATATCACACATAAAATAAAACTAAACCACTTCTTTACCACAAAAATGATACACCTTTCAGAGCTACAAAATCCACAAGCAATATGGTGCCGGTCATGCGCAGACGACATACAAAGTTAAAGGGATGGAAACCGAGATTTTTGCTGGAGAATCTGCTATTCCGTGCAGTAATTATTTAATCTGACTCTGTTGAGACCCAGCAGTGGCCGAGCGGTAAAGTCGCTGGACACTGGTAGTTCGGTTCGCGGTTTGAATCTCGCGAACGGGCTGGCTGCATTAGCGTTTTTGTTGTTTTCCCCCGTACGCAAAATGTACACACGCCAGTTTCCCTTAGACAAAGGCATTCATTCCATTAGGTGGGTAGCGCTGCAGTGCATTGCCATAATCAAATAAACCAAACCGGATAGTTGACAGATACAGGAAAATTTTTTAGCCCAATTTTTGCAACCATGGAAGACGCGAAGAGCAGTCCTTCACTTCCGTGGAAAGAACTGAAAAACTGAAGAAATTTTTGAAAGTCTGAGAAGAGAATCCTGTTCGCACATTTGAATACACTTTTACGGGATGCAAGATTGGATACTTTTACCGTGCCATAAAAAGACAGAGAGAGGCACCGAAAACGGTCTTTAAGGGCGAGTTAAAAAGTGTATTTTCCGCTGGGATTCAGTTAAATATGGATTGTGTAAAGAAACTGCACTGTAATATTAATGAAAACTGACGAAATAAAAAAAATACCTAAATTCTTAAAACTTTGGAGATACCCTACTTACAAGATATGACAATAAATTTCTATGAAAATGTTCATGAACAAAAGACTCAAAGAAGTTATATTTCTTAAAAGTTATTTTTTCTGACGCTGGCCTGGTTTCTTTTGCCTGATGTTTATCTTAATTTGATCACACTTTGAAGCTAACTTTACCTGATCTAATAACAGGATGAAGAAGTAACTAATTTAAAAAAATTCAGTGCTAGTTTTTATGCAACAGACATAAATAAATCTGAACACGCAGTTATGAAAATATTTGATTTGTTTTAATTATTTCAAGGTAAACTCTGTCTAAAGGATGGAAAGCTTCATGAAGGGCTTTCTGCAGGAACTGTCTCGTATGCGCCTTATATTTGGGAAGAACCACGAAAATCGCATGCAGTCAGCCCGTTCGCCGGGGTTTGAACCCCGGGCGAACTACTAGTGCTCAGAATCTTTACGATATTAGAAGGAAAATGAAGTATGTTACACAAGGTGATGAAGTTTGACTGAAATTACATTTTACTGAAACTGTCCAGTCTACAAAACATCGGCAACAAAAATGAATCATTATGAATTTTTCCCGTGTTTTTATATGAATGAATAATACGTAGCATAATACATAAATAAGTACAATAAGAAATATCAAAGGTTTTGGATTTTAATTGAAGCCCAAAAGGGTTTGTTATCGTGTTTTACGTTTCCGATGAGCTCGCAGTCTACCAGTCTGCTCTTTCACCTGCTGAACCTCATTTTTTTTTTTCTTTTTAGTCCAAAGAGGCTTTGTCCTTGAAGGACTATTGTTTACGTTTTGCGATTTTACGTTGAATCACTATAAATGTCCATTTCACTTTTCAAACTGTTGCCACCAAATGTTAGAGTCCTGCATTATATTGGAAGAAATTAAATAATGAAAAATCTGCATAAATGTATGTATATTTCCCGCATTGTGATAAAACAACGGTACCTGGATCCATCGAATTTTGAATGACGTAATCCTCCAACGAATATGAGCATGTGGAAGACCAAATTTGAAATTTGAAATTTGTTTTATGATCGATTTCCTATTTTGTAAAACTTTGACGAATTTTTGATTAACAAACTCAAGGATTTCAAAGCGAGCAATGGCAACACTTGTGCAGGAGAAAAAAAATCTTTTTATCTCCAGCGCGCGGAGACTGTGTGTATCGGAAATTCTAAAGATATGCTCATTTAAAAATTATTTTGCGATATTGCTGTTGAACTGGAATTTATGGTTTAAGTGCGAGAAATGATATTTAATAAATAAAGATAACATACAAAACGTTAAAAAAACGCCCCTTTGGACGTAATTTAAAATCTGAAACCTTTCAGATTTTTCTTTTTTAGCGCAGAAGGGCTAAAAGTCTCGAAATGGCATTTTGAGTCGAATCACTAAAAACGTTGAATCACTTTTCAAATTGATAACACAAAATATTATCGGTTTAAAGGTTTCGAATTCCAAAGATCACTCGTGAAAGCCAATCAGCTATATCCCGGAGCATCTGCTAATTTTATAGCAGTTCTTACATTCTGAGTTATCCTAATCTTTGTTCACAAAATACCAACTGATATAGTGGTCGCTGACTGCCGAAGTATTTGGGTTCGAATCCCGGTGAAGGCATGGATGTTTGTAAACGTACAGTGTCCGTTCGGCATGGGGTAACTTTAGATATGTGACGAGCCGTAAGCCCTCTAAACGAGAGGTTAGTGGTAGAGGAAGAGGTGTGGGAGATCCGCCCCCCCCGGGGTGCTCTCCATCAAAATGCGGAGCTGAGCTAAATCGTACTCTCAGCTGTCAGGTGCTCAAGTATGTTATTGAAGACAAGCTTATCTTGCCCTCCTTACCTCTAGAAATTTCGTGGGCTTGGGGTGACTATAAGTCAGACAAGTGAATATTAGTCAACAACACAAGCAATCAACAAAAAATCTCTCTGAACACCTTAAAATTTTTTCAATGCAGTGTGCTGTCATGTTGCCATTATTTTCTAGCTAAATCTTCCCACTCCCATCTTTTTGAGTTGTCTCTAAAAGCAATTTTACTTTTAAAATTTTATTAAAAATCAGAACAATTTCAAACACAAAGGGAAAATTAAATAAGAGGTTTTTTTTAATTTAGATATGTTTAGAATGTCGTATAGACAGCCAGCTACATATATTTTTCTTCCGTACAGTGTTACTATTTCTCGCTTTGGAACTGTTGAGTTTCTTAATCAAAAGTTCGTTAAAGTTTTAACCCTTTGCG